GCCTAAAACTGGAAAGCTACCGGCACAACTAAAATCTACAAATCCTAGATTTCTCTTGTCAAGGTCTTACAGTCTTACTGTAGCCCCCTATATAGAGTTAGATGATAAGTTCCTTCTGGGTATCGTAAATTCGGAAGAAGAAGGGCGCACTTGGCTCAGCCACCAAAGAAGCTCTACTCACATGCTCACATGAACTGTACGTAGTCTGAACTCCTTGAACGGGTTTATTTCGGGGATTGTGTATGCGAGTACTAGAGGGGTTCCTAAGGAGCATACTAGGAGTTTAAACAGACTATAGCCCACAAGGACCTCTACACAGTTTCATGTAGAAGCTTGAATAATTTGAACTATGGGCAAGTAAATGGACAAAGACGATGGAGAATGACATGGAAGCTGGGATTATGCAACGATGTGTAGGAATAATTGCCAAGACTAGGGCGCCACTTTCCTGGTAGAATTATACTAAAACGTAGGATGGTTCGAATAGTCCCTAAGAGCTGGCTGTGTTAAGGCAGCTTTCAAGGGAACTGGTGTCTAATAAAATTGGAGTTTCTAGGGATTGTGAATTTCACAATTCCTATAAACTCCAATAGATTAGACACCAGTTCCCACTTGAGTGGCAATTTCTTTCCCACTTGATTCTCCTTTATTCGCGGTACTATCCCTGAACCCAAAACCTGAAATCCGCAAAAATCCCTGAACTCTGAATCCTAATCCTAATCCCTAAAACCTAGAACTCTTATAGAACCGAAACCTTAAAACCCCTGCATAGATATCCCCTATGTAGGCCTATATGCGCGCTATGACCTCCATGTGAGCCTTTCAGCCAAAAACCAGGCGCTGGGCAAGAACGTCCGACTTAGGGCATTGAGCTCAGCCTGAAAGGGCTGTAACGGGGGCCCAAAAGGGTTTTAGGTTTATAGTCCCCCTTAAGTAGATAGAATATAGCTTTGGGTATATTATAATAGGATCCCCATATACCCAATATTCCAGCTACTTCAGGGGCATTATAAGTTTCGGTAGGAATACGTATAGTAGGAGGAGGCTGGTAAATATGTTCCCACTGCGTTCTGGATATCTTTTCGGGTCCTTTTACACCCTGGTGTTGTCACAGACATTTTTGTTAAGGGCTTAGGGTTTAGAGATTTGGGCTCGTGGTCTCGCGCTTTGGGGTGTGGGGTTTATGCTTTGGGGCTGATAGAGTTTGGGATTTGGGGTTTAGGGTATAGTCCCCCTTAATTTGAGGTTTAGGGTATAGACCCCCTTAAGTAGATAAAATATGGTTTTGGGTATATTATAATGAGATTCCCATATACCCCATATTCTATTTACTTAGGGGGAACTATATTTTGTGGGGGGTTTTCGGAGAGCGAGGGAGTTACAGTCTGAAAATTCAGGTGTTGACCCTAAACCCTAAACCCTAAACCAATCATGGCTCAGAGCTTCTGAGTGGTCCAGGGGTTCTGCTGTTGGGCAAGCCCTAAACCGTACAACCCTAAACCCTAAGCCCTGAACCCTAACCTCTAAAGCCTAAAACCTACGTCCTACGTAACACCTGAAACTTGCAGCCCTAAACTCTAAACCCTAAACCCTAACACCTAAACCTTCAGTACTGCCCCCCCTCAGTAACAGTTGGACAATAATTATAATATGGTTCTATATCGCCCTTTCTAGGACCCCTAATAGAGACTGTTACTGGGGGGGGCAGTACCCAACCTAAACCCCTAAAACCTTCAGCCAAAAGCCTTGATCCGGGACCGGAGTGCAGGGCTTGGGCCAGGCCGTTTTTTCGCCGCGGCTGGCACTTGGAGTGTATGCGCGGTGTAAGGATTAGGGTATAGGGTTTAGACTTTACGGTTTAGGGTTTAAGGTTAGGAGAAAGCGGAGTTTTATGGTTTGGGGTTTAGGGAAATGGAAAAGAAAATGGAATCTATGATGTAGGGCTGCAGGAAGAAGGAATGGGCAAAAGAAATGAATACAGTCATTTGGGGGGGGGGGCGTATACAGGAATTGAAATAAGGCAAATACTTCCAGTAAGCCCAGGGGCGGGGGTTGATCCCCGCATCCCCTAGGCTTGACAACCACGGCAGGCTGGACGATGTTGAGAAGTCTGTATGGGAGCTTCCACAAAGAAACCAGAGGTCCGTTGTCTGCGAGTCTGAACATGAGTTCTAGGGCACAGGTGTCTGTAATTTTTTTCGTGGCAAGGACTGCATGACTTGGATTAGAACTGACGAAGCGGATTTCTGGGGGATGTCGTGTTCCTGCATTTGTAGGAGCCTGAAGTCGGAAGCTCTCTCGCCCTGAGGCCAATGAACCACTGCTGCAGCATGATACGACCTTCGGCTGATCTGAGATAGCAATATAAGCTATAGTCTAAACTCCGTAAAAGGGGTTTACATTGAGGATTCTATAGGGTAGCTTTATAGAGGTTATTAGGGGGCATACTAGGAGTTTAGACTATAGCTCATATGGGTTCAATCATGGCTGTTGGTTGAAGGCGTAGTTGCCTTGGCAGCATTCAGAAGTATTGCAGGCAAGGTTTGCCCAACAGTAGAGTCTCTTGGGGGGGACCAGAGCCTAACAGTCAAGCAAAGCGGAAAGTTTGCCAAATGCTCGTGTCATGACACTGGAGCATCCCACAACAACCCATAGAAATTCCTTTATCAGGACACCCATAACCACAATCAATCCTCGGGCCCTTTTTAATTCTGAGCATTCCTCCGATGGCTGGTTCGTCAGGCTTCTACTACGGGGACCGAACAATTACCAATGTTATGGTCCTATTTACATATTGCAGGATAGGGTGCCAAAGTACCTCGAATGACAATATCGGTAAGTATTCAGGCCTGTACAGTGCATGCTCCTGAAAACACAGACACACACGCAACAACAACAGCAGCAGCAGCAGCAGCATCAGCAGCAACAACAACAACAACACCAGCAGCAGCAACAACAACAACAACAACCACAACAACAACAACAACAACAGCAGCAAAAGCAACAGCAACAGCAACAGCAGCAGCAGCAGCAGCAGCAGCAACAGCAACAGCAACAGCAACAGCAACAGCAACAGCAACCACCACCACCACCACCACCACTACCACCACCACTACCACCACCACTACCACCACCACGACCACGACCACCACCACGACCACGACCACCACCAACACTACGACCATGACAACGATAATACCACTATAAATTTACTGCCATGACTAGTATGATGCCCAGTTAGAGAGAGTTCCTAGAGTCTTTCGCGACCCCTCGTTTCCAACGACTTTGTTTCAAGATTGGCCCGCCCGGTACTCGTGGAGTTATTCTTACTATGCTCACATTAGCCGCAAATTCCCGCTATTTGCTGGGACTATCCCGAAGGCCGCTTGGGCCGGCTTGGGGAAGCGCCTTCGGATCCGCAGTGCGCACCGGCTGGGCGGCTTCTTGGAGCACTTTGCCTTGGAAAGCTCGGGTGCATCGGAGCAGCGGGAAGGCCACCTATTTCTGCGTCTCTGCATCTCTGCTGGCTAGCTCAAAACTCGCAGTCACGACCCTGAGATGCTGACTGAGTTGGTCCTCTGTGTCCAGATTTGGCATGTGCGTCGACAAATCTTTCACGGGAGGGTTCAACTCTCCTTTGCTATGTGTGCCTCGTCTGCTATCTTGCTCAACACTCCTCACTTTACCACCTTCGAAGCCATTGGAACAAGCTACCACTGCTGTGAGTGCCTTTAATCATGCTACACTGCCACGCAATTCGAGCAAAGAAAGCGACTTTGGCTGCAGCACAGTCACTGATGACTGATTGCTCAAGCGTCCGCCACCTGTTGCAGCAAGTGTGACCACCAAAAGCTCGGTGGCGCACCGCTGCAGACGAGCAGGCAGGGACTCAGCACGCAATGCGCTGCCATACAAGCGGGGGGACAAAGCACTGTTGACCTAGGCTTCCCTTGGGCTAGGATGGCTAGGGAGTCGACGCGAGACAGACGGCCAGAGACGTACCGGGCCTACACACTGATTTGCTCTTGCCAAGTCTACATCATGGCAGGCCTCGGGCCTTGTAGCAATGAGCAGCTCTGTGCCTCAGGATGGGTCCAAGATAGACTCGAGACAAGTAGGCTGAAGTTCCGCCGAGCAAAAACTCACTGAATCCGCAAGCGAGGGCCATCACGTCTTGGCCCATCCCGAGACGTCGAGAACAGCCCAAGCTAGGTGATTAAAGTGTCCCAGAGCATGCCTTTGTTGCGCGGCATTCCCTCATATGTATTCATTATACAAGACACCTATGAACTCATGCATGCGCACTGAGTCTTGAGCGCATCTTAACACGTCTGCAGCAAGATGATGTGCGAACGCTGCGTGTAGTTTTGTCAGAGCGACCGAACACTGACTGAATGCAGCAATGAGGAGGGCACTGCCGCAAGCCAGCGCGCTGCATTGCCTGCCTTCACAAGCTTTGCAAGCAGCCAAATTTTATTGCATTTATCAGGTCTGCACGCCCCAACGGCCCAGTTCTGAGCCAATCTGATTCCGTGTTTTCATTGCTCCATGAGGTCAAATTGGTCGCCTTGGTCTTGTAGAGCAATCGGGCGGCGTCAGCGGGGCTGGTGCTGTAGAGCCTGCAGCTTATAGCAAGGGCGGAAAGAAAAAAACCGAGAATCTGAAAGTGCGCAGACCTGACATTCGTGTCTCGGCTCTGGCAAATGGGAGCTGCGCCATGTCTCAATCCCAACAATCCATCTTTGTGCTGCCCCAAACTGCCAGAGCCGAGTGCACAGAAGCATTCCTGTTCCAGCAGACCCGCCTCGCAGTCGCAGCCTTTTATTCTTATGGGCATGCTGCCAGCGAGCCCACCTCCTGGTAAGCAGCAAGATGTGCAGCAACGCAAATGCAAATGCCCCGTGTCGATCAACCCATCCACTCCTACTATTACAAGGAGGACATAAGGCCCAGCCAATGCGCATGTTGGCCTGCTGTTCACTTGCTTGCTGTGCACCATTTTAATAGAAGTCTTGCGCAGAAGCAACGGAGTACCCACGGGCCACGTTTTTCTGCGAATTCATCAGGCTAAAATTCGGGTGAAGGCTTCTCAGGCTTTCGGAGCCATCGTCGCCCATCTCTTGCAGCCAGCCGGAAACTCTGTCTCGCAGAGCTTTCTTGTGCGATTCCATGGCATTTTCGATACGTAGCTGACGCAGGCCAGTCTGCCACCAGCAGAAGCATCTACGGATCAAGCACTGTGCATGTTGTTGCACAGCACTTAACTTCTTCTGCAAGCTCAACTCTGCTGAGGCTTGTGCCCAGCGTCTGAGCCAAAGGCATAAGCACCACCTTCGCGAAGTGTCAACTGCGGCCCAGTACTGCCGGAGCTTGGCCATCTGAAGTCTCTTCAACCACATGACGAGTGTCCGGAATGCGAAGCGCCGCCCCAGCCAAGAGATGGCCAAGTGTGCCCGGGCAAGACGCGCCGCCGACTTTGCCACGACAGAGTGCACGTAGTGATGATGCCAGGATGTCACGCATTGCTTGAGCAAGGTCATCCGCCTGCGGTTTAAAGCCATCAACTCCCAAAAAGCAGCATGGCTGACTTCCTGGCGCAAAGCACACCAAACTCGGATGTACTGATGCAGCCTGTGGAGTTCTACCGCCTGCCGCTCGCGATCTCGCCTGATCGCAGCTGCCACCAGCCGCTGCGCCCGAAGGCGTCTCTGCTCTTGAGCCTGCTCCTTGCGCAAGCGCAAGCGCTCCTGCTTTGCCTCCTCCTCTGCTATCCTCAGCTGCTCTTCTTCCTCGGCTTGCTTCTGCTGCCTTTCTTGTTGCTTCTCTTTCTGGCGTTGCCTCCGCAATTCGTGAACGCGGCGTCTCTCTTCTGCCCGTCTCTCCATTTCGAGCAGGGCCCTGGGCCTGACCAGGGATGGTAATGCTGGCTGCTCGACGTTGTTTAACTGTGGAAGGCTTGTGGCTCCGTTCCCAATGTCAACAGCTGCACCATCTGTTTCAGGGTGCTCAATTGTGACTGGCGGCTCTGCTGATGCCCTTCGTGATGCCTCAACACCCCTAGAGTGGGATCTCAGTCTGCGTCCCGTGTGAGTGTCAATGCAATTTGCCAGCCCTTGTTCGTCTGGAACTTTCTGTCTTTGCCGCCTCTCTTCCTGAGCCTTCTTCCTCTCTTGCACACGTTCGGCAATCGCGCGCAGCTCTTTCGATCGAGAACCAGGGCGTCTCTGCTGCACAGCACTGTCCTGGACTTGGAATGTCGGCCCTGGCTCCTGATCTTTGACCTCTTTGCCATCTACGCGTGCACTAGCAGTGTCGGCCACAGAGTCATCTTGAGACATCTCGGCATGCCCTATGATGTCCAAACCTGCATCTGCGCATCCTTCGTTGCTTTGGGCGGAGCATGCAGGCAGGGCAGCCAAGAATGCCGTGGCTCTTGCTGCTACGGCTTGCTTTGACCTTTCTGTGTGGGCATGGTTGATTTCCAACTGCCATGCTAGCCAGCTGTGGCAAGCCAAGCGCCGTGCGTAGTGAGCCTCTGCTAATGACGCCTGCTTCCGGACCCGCTGAATCTCTTTCATGTGGTTTGCAGCCTGCCTATCTGCTATTGCGCAAGCAGCTACGGCTCGCCAAGCCAGCGCAAAAGCAGATAAAATGGAGGCGTTGCGGGCGCTGGTTACAATCCATTGCTTTCTAATCAGCATCTTGCAAGCATCGTTCAGCTTGTGTAGCGCCCAGCGAGAATGTGCACAAAGCACTCTGTCCCGGAGTGTGTTCAGCAGCATGCCGAGGTTCATCGCTGCGGTGTCTCGCTGAGTAGATTGCACTGAGAGCTTCTGTTGCTGGACCTGTCCTAGTTGCAGCTCCAATCTCCTGACTTCAGAAGCCTTGCGAGCCCTTGCCTGCTCGGCAGCATGAAGATCACGGACCGCTTTGACCTCCCGCTCTACGTCCTTTACAGGCTGTGGCGATGGACTTGCTGCGTGAAACCCTTTGAGTGCAACCCTGTCCTCCTTAGCTCTGACCATCTCAGCATCCAGAAATTCTGTTTGTGATGCCAAGTCCTGAAGCTTTCATGTAGCGGCTGAGCTGCCCTCTGCAGTGCCGTGAACTTGTGAGAATACGTCCTGGCAGGCTCGAACAAGCTCTTCAGGCTCTTTTCGCTCTCTGTTGACGCTCTTGCTTGTTCTGCGCGACGACCGCTGGCATGCCATCCTGGCAATGGCATCAGATATTCAGCCTCAGATTAGTTAAGGACCCGCACCTGGAACCAATCCTTGGCCGCTTGAAGCAAACTCTGTCGCCAGAGACCTGAACAGAGCACGGAACGTTGCCACATACTGCCAGCTGGGATTCCGGGATTGCCTGCTTCACGCTCGCATCGCTCGCCGTGGCAACGCGGTTACTGCCCACGCGGCGCTCCTCAAGTGCACGATGACGGGCCTGCAGGACAATGCAGGACAGTTTGGGGAAACAGTAGACTTTTGACTTCTCTAATCCGAAGCACGCTGTCTCTTCTCTTGCATCCCCATACCAACACTTCTGCAGTTGCATCCCGCGGCCTCCATACGCAGCAACGGATCTCGCTCAGGAGGCAATGGCTTGCCTGCGCAACTTCTAGTGGCGGGCCGCTTAAGAGTGCCCGGCTCTAAGTAGTTTAAAGTTGCCAAGTTACTGCTTGGTCGGCTCAGGGCTTTTGCGCTGGCCCTGGCCTGTCTGCGTTGGTCTGACCCAGACAACTCGATTTACAGCAGTCAGACTGAAAGGTGCCTTCTCTTCTGCTTTTTCGATTCGCCTGTTTGCCAGGCCTTGTTTCAATTTGCCGGCTGTACCCACGTGGAATCACGTGGAGAAACGGCAATCAAAGAACAAGGTTTACTGTGGCCAACTTTGCCAAACTCTGTCTGAAACCTTCTTCCTTGCGCTTGTACTACGATGATGTCTCTGTGAAGATCTGTACGCCCTCCTGGATTTCTTGCAAAACTCGTAAAACAAGCAGACTGTTCTGCGATAAATGCGGGTGACAGCGGAGGGCCACATCAACGTCGGCGGCCAGAGCTGCGTCTGCATGTCCCTGGACTTCCTGAGTTCAGCACATTGTGGCATCAAGGTGCACCATCGCCTGTGAGCACAACTCTGCCCGAATTTACATAGACGGAGTCTTGCATCAATGGGACATGTGCTTATGGTGCAATACTTCATCCATTCGCGGTGGTGGTTGCAGTAATGCTGCTTATGATGGCGCTGGCAATAGCACGGGTGGAAGGTGGTGGGAGCGGCAGCAACGCGGTGCTGGCTTCGAGGGAGCGGGGGGGTTGGCGGGTGCTAGAGGTGGTGCTGTTGCTGGGGTAGAGGTGTATTTGTCGAAGGCCCCCTGCCAACTGTTGCCCGGCCTGCACATGTTGAAATCCTGCCAACCCTGGGAAATCCTCACTCCCGTGGAATGCTCACAGCTTGTTGTAATTTTGCGAAGCATGGGGATGCGCAGAAGGATTGGGTGGGGTGGGGTGGGGGGTGTGGGGAAGGCATAATTAGCAAGGTCCATCCACAGCGAGCACATGCAAAAAGCTGCAAAACAACGCAGACTTGCCTTGCAGTTTCAAGGCTAAAGCGAGCAAAGGGCTGTATTCACCCACGAGGCTCAATCCAAATCACGAGAAGTCTTAAAGGGGCATAGAGATCACACATGGCAAAAAACTCTCAGACGAGGTTGGCTGACTTTACAGGACTCGGACACACAGTCTGGTAGCACGAATAATTGCAGGAGCAGCCGTCATCGGAGGACAACGAAAACAAACGGAATGCCTCGTGAAGCTTCCAGGCAGCGAAGCCACTGATAGACAGAGGCTCAATCATAAAACACGACAGACCAAAACGAAAAAGGGTTGGGCCTCGAGAAATTATGCAAAGCTTCGGACAAAGCCTTGGCTGGAGATTTTGTTTTTGGCCGCCTCCGTTGCAAAACCTGCATGCTCATCTACTTCTTAACGCTCTTTCCCATAGGTTCACAGTACTCTCCTACATCACCATGGTGTTGAAAGCTAAGATCGTTTGTGCATGGTACGAAGGCACCAGTTAAGGCCAAAGGGACTGCCCGCCTCCACCGTTGATCTAGAACCAGAAAGATCTATTGTACAGTACAGGGCCTCAAGGACAAAAGGATTTCCTGCGAGCCTGTTATCATGAATCTAAGCTCTGATCCCGCATTTACCGTGCTGGGGCACAGGGCTTTCAAGATGACGGAGTAGGCTTGCAATGCTCTGCACATGTACCTGGAGCCAAGGATCCCGCAACTTCCCCTCCACTCTTCTGTACAGGTCTGTGGATGTTCGCTGCGAAGAAGTCTTAAGCAGCACAGGCATCGGCACGGCGTCGGCAGAGCTCGGGTGGAGGAGTCGTGCCTCCTTGCATTCTGCAAAGGTCAAGCTTTGCATCACTTTGCGTAAGCTGCTCCTGACACGCACACCATCAGCTCCAAGGCTCAACTGTCCGGTAATGCTATACGGCTTTGCAGCCCTAAATCCACATCAGTCATGTCACCGACTGTGCTCTGCGACGCAGAAAGTCAGCGGACTCCTCCTGTTGTCGTGCTGTTCTCGTTAACAGAACATGTAACATGCTTCGGCGAGTGATCAGTTACAGGAGGGGAAATCGTCACGATTCGTGGGTAATGCTGCCAGGGATCAGGAAAAGCTTTTACTGGGAAAATGTACAAAGCTGTAATTCTGCACCCGCTGAGTGATTGAATGATGGCCGAGAACACCGTCTTCAAACCACTGGAGCATTCGAATTCAGTAAAGCACAAGCTTCTAGGCACAAGCGAGCGGCGATGTCATGTCTGGCCACATGAAACATGATGACCGGGAGGAAGATTCTGGGCCAAGCTGGTCGCTTCTTCAACATTGCATCGGGAGGCCGACAAAACATGTTTGAATCCGGCTAGCCCCCCCCCCCCTCCGCTCCCACAGCCGCCTAATGACAAACATTGCCATTAGATTTCCGTCAACCCCGTACTGGCTAAGCTTCTGTGTTGCTGGTTCCCTTGCAGCGACCCCCCATCCTCGTGGCGAAGCCAAGTGTTCAGGAGGTGCCTTGCTTCTGCTTGGACGTCCGAATCACTCCTCAGCACTCAGCCGAAGTGGGTATAGCAATATGCTGGTGCCTGTGATATCCTGTGATGACACAAACACGGAAGCCAGGGCAGCAGTCCAGTTAGAATGTTGCTGAATCGCACAAGTCTCCTGATGCCACCAGCATCTGCATCCAGGCTTTGATGATTTCCGAGCAGCATCTGGCGAAAATTGACGCGAGCATGAATGCTACAGCAGCAAGATCTGCCTCTTCTGCTGTGCGGCAAAGAAGGCGGCACTATGGCTGCACGCTGCATGCGCAAGCCCTCTGGGTCCACATCGTGCCTAGCTGGTTGCAAGCAGCTTCTGCTTTTCGGGGACAGGACGCTTTCGCAGGCCCGCAGTGCAGATGTGGACCCCTAGGGCAAAATGCAGGCGAATTATGCCGTCTCTGGACTACTGAACGCCGCTTTTTTTGCAGATTTAGAAGTAGTTTAGATGCATGTCAGGCGGTTGCAATCGTGTGTACCGTGTACATGGCCACTCGAACATCCGTACTGAGAACTGACCCCTGAAGCGGCTTCGGTGGTTGGCAGAGCGGCAAATGACCCTTCCGAGCGGGCAGCAGTGCAGTCAATAAGTGTAGAGGCTCTGATCGCAGACATCCATGCCAGACTGAAACGGCAACACAGGACCTCTGTTTGCGCCCAAGGCGGCAAGGCATCAGACGAGGGGGCGGCATGTAACAGTTTGTGAAAAGAGAGTGTCCCTACATGACCTCAACAAGCATCACTCTGTGGGTGATAAAGGGAACCCGGCTGTAAGCCTTTCTGACTGGTTCTGTTCCCTGCCTTGCTGAGCCACATTGAAATAGCTGCGTTGCAAAACTGGGCTGGCTAAGGGTCAGTTTCCAGCTACACCTGGCCACACTTTTTTGCTGCCTTGAGGCTTGTTCTAAGTCCGTTGCGCTAATATTCGGAGATCAGCCGGGAGACGACCATACAGTGGGCGCGATTCACGCCCCCCACTTGGCCGGTCAGCGTGACTACACATGTTTCCGCCCCTGGACCAGGTGGATCAATCACCAACTTTGCCCCAGTATGCCTCGAGATTTCCTTGGAGAACACACCTCCCTTGCCTAACACACGGCTTACGGACTGCGAGGGAATGGCAAACTGGATCGTGGAGACGCTCGACAGGACAGACGGATCAGACTCAGCCTGCAGAAGATCTATTTGCATGGTCTCCTGGCCAATATGGTTCGGGTGGCCACCTCCAACATCTCCGAACCCTTTACCTGCAGAAGCCATCGGGGCCAGAGCCCCTCCGAGCCCTTTGCCACCAAACAGCCCTTTGGCAGGTGGGCCCTTGCCCTTTGACCAAGGTCCGACATTTCCAACGAAGGCTGCACCAGCACCGTAGTGATAGTCGCTGTAATCATTGTTGGCTACTTGCTGGGAATCTCCTGCCCCCTCGACGAACTCAGTCAACTTAATGAGCAGTTGCTGGACCATCCCGCCGGGACCGTTGACCTTCAGCAGCTGTTCGCCCTGGTGCGTGACCTTGTCTGCCTCCAGGTGGCACCCGAACTCCTGCCGAAGCTGTGAGATGGTTGCTCCCTTTGCGCCAATGATCTTGGAGATGGCATTGCTTGTCAAGAGCAATTGCGCACTAGCATCACTGCCCGACGCCGAACCTTCTTCCATTAACTTCTCCGTCACAAACATCAAAGCCTGGTCCACACAAGCACGCTGGCCTCCTAGAACAACCACTTGGAGGCCTGTTCCCATAAACTTGTTCTCCCAAATATGCAGGGTAACGCCAGTCTGGGCCCGTAGCGCCTTGACCTCAGCACCACCTGTACCAATGATCTTGCCCGCCGTGCCTGTGCTCACCAAGATCTTGATCACCACGTCCCCTGGCTGAAACTCGAAACGCCGTCGCTTCGGTCGAGGACCCGACATCATCATCGCTACAGCAAGGCTTTGGCGAATAATCTATTTCAATTCCTGTTGTCTCAGCACGGGTGATTGCTTGCTAGAAAGCCAATGCCAACAAATCCTCGCATCTTGCTCAATCTTGCTATCCATAACAGCATTGAAGTACCTCCTGCAGCAAGCAAACCGACGGGCACCGGCGCTCATGAGCACACAAATGTGCTTCTGACATCTTGCCATGCCAAGCTCTGCGACAAGGCAACTCAAATCTGGCACCCATACCGTACCCTGGCTGCACAGAACTCGCTTTTCGCACTCATCAGCCGAGCTTTCGCTCGAGCCTTCGCTCGAGCCTGCACCAGGTGACAAAAGGCACAGCCGCCGCGCCACGAGGAACAAAGACATAGCAGGGGCTCACTCATCATGACACTTCACTGTACATGATAACCACTTTGAAATGCAAATCAGCCGCCCATGCACCAATGTGTATCGACGGACTATGCGGTGGAGCCATGTGTCACTCCTTCCGCGGCCTAAGGACGCTGGAAGGCGCAGGTGCAACGTCACACATCCAAGTCTCTGCGGATTAGTCTAATTTGCCGCACGGTGATTACAAATGCTCAGCCAAATTCTACATAGAAGCTTTTAGATTTGGACGTGCGGTCTTGCTCCCGCGAAAAAATCTCGCGAAAACATTCTGTGCAAAGCATATGAGCTGAAGCTCGAGAGGCGAGCGTCTCAAACTCCAGCCGCATTGGGAATCTAGCAGGGATACAGAAATGGCCTGGAGGGAACGCTTCTGAGAACACAGCATGTTGACGTGGCGTGGGCCTGTTGGATAAATAGCTTCTAGCAAACTTGTTATTCAACGGTTTTGGGCAGCTGGACTGGAGTCTGACTTGTCAAGGCGCACTCCGGCCAGGAAAAGCGAATGGCGCATGATGGCACTTTAGCCCCACTAGTCGTATTACTGCCACGCCTGCAGTAATAGGGGCAGTCATAGGGGTAGACTAGTGGTTGCAGTTGTTGTTGTTGCAGTAGTAGTAGTAGTAGTAGTAGCAGCAGCAGCAGCAGTAGTAGTAGTAGTAGGAGGAGTAATAGAGAAGGAAGAATATCCAAATCCTCCAGTGTCCTCCATTATTGCTTACTTAAAGTGTAGGCCTTGAATTTATTATGAAATTTATTCCTTGCTTAAGCAAGATTAGTTCTGAAATCGTGCCTTTTTTATACAACCAGCTGGTTTGAGCTATCTCTTACCCAACGGGAATACTATGTGGTTATTTAGTTGTTGACACGTAGACTTAAGGCTCTTCATTAACTATGTGCGATAAGACTTATTGCTTGAGTAATCTTAGATACATTTAAGCAAGAATCTTTGTTCTTATTTTGGCATTACTCAAGGTGCCTACATATGAACTCACGTGAAGCACATGCATGTTGCAAGTCTGGTTTTTCATGCACATGAGAATGTTGACCAACCAGTTGGGTTTCTGGCTCGACCTGATCAATGTATGGGCTCGACTGTGCAAATGCATGTGCGAATTTTCCTGCAGGCTGTTGACAAGTGACCGCAATGTGAGCACAGTTACTGGCCAGGACATTATTCCTTTGCTGAAGGCCAGTTTTCCTTCAAGCCTGCCAGAAGGAAGTTTTCCCAGCACAGGAATTGCCTTCCTGGAGGCCCATGAGTTGCTAATCAATGAGTTGCTGCTGGCCACTCCTCAAGTGACTGCTAGATAGATTCAAGAAGGCCGCAATGCCGCATTCCAGGACCTGTCCAATGAGGTGGCTACCTCTCTCACTCAAGTGGTAGCAGGTGCTCGCAGGCTTGTGTGGCACAAAAGGGACTAGGTCTCCGTGGCAAAAAGCTGAAGCCAGAAGCCTTGAGTAGATTGGTACTGGCGCTTCTGGGGCCCAGCCAAAGGAAGAAGCCGACCAACGTATTACAAATTGGGCAGGTTTTGACGAAGCAGCAACTGAAGGACCTGGCTTGCAGGTGGTGCTTGCCTGCACTTCCAAGTCTCCAGCAAAAAAGAAGGGGGCCCCGGCAGAAACATCTGCTTCAACGGAAAGCTTGGGCCTGCAAGGTGAGTGCAAAAAGTCGGCGTGTCGGGCATGGACTCCTATGCGCCTGGCCAGCAACAGCAGGCTGAAGTTCCTACTTTGCTTCGGAAGCAGGCAAAAAGGGCAATTTGGGGCAGTCCGCTGGATGAACAAGCCCCAAGCTGGTAATTAAGCTGCTGCGGCAAAGCTAAGGCCAGAAGCATGGAAGCATAGGAGCATGGCCGCATGGCAAACAGTTCTGTGCAGGGAGGGAGGATAGATGAGGATGCGGAAGCCTTAGCCGCAGACCCCGAAGCTGCAGGTGCTCTCGAAGAGATTCCTGAGCCTAGCCAGGATTCTGGAGAAGTGACCAGGAAAGTTGGCACGTGCAAGTTTTGGCGAGGCCGCATGCAGGTGTTCAGGAGGCAGCTCTTTGATGTGAGGATTTCCTTGAGTAAGGAAGACATTTACGCTAAGGGCAAGGAAGTGGCTGACAAATTGCCCAGCAAGGTGCTGAAAGAACAAATGCCAAAGGTGGTCTGGAAGGACTCTTGAACTCCAAGCGAACCTCTGGTGCCGCGGCTTTGTGATGTTGAGGTGCATTAAATATGTAGGCCGCGTGTTCTAAAATTCTAGACTTGGAAGCGCTAATTTTCCTGGTGAGGCAATCAGCTTGATTTCACCTTCTGCATGGAAATGTTTGCAGACCAAGTGGCCATTGAAATTGCGCATGCCTGAGAAATTTGTGTTGATGAGTCAAGTGATGGTTCGACGTATACATGTTGCGTTGCATGAGCCGTGTTGCAGCACCCACACTTGACGCAAGGTGCCGAAGGTCTCCACGCACTACCACATCCACGCAAAGGTGCAGGAGGAGAGCAGCAGCAGCAGCAGCAGCAGCAGCAGCAGCAGCAGCAGCAGCAGCACCAGCAGCAGCACCAGCAGCTGCACAGCCATCGCGCAGCAGCATACTAACTTCAAGCAAGTAGGCTTGCAACAGATGCTCGATGATCCAGATCGAGACAAAAATCGGGAACCCAAGGTGCTGAATTCTGGGAAGGATGCGTTTGACAAAAAAAATGTTCTGCGGAAGGACCTACTGTACTCTCCAAAGGGGAGGAGCAGCAGGAGAATGCACCCGAACGGAGAAGAACCTCAAAGAGGGTAAGAACCATCTGATGTGCAAGACTTTGTGACTTTGTGGAAGCAGCTTGCAGGAAACGAACCGTTGTGAACCACATGGAGAACGATACCGATGACGGAGAGGACTGGGCAGAAGATCTTGGATGAGATGACGCAGAACTTTGCCGTGGCCACCGTGCATCTGGAAGGCATGAAAGCCTTTCGTGTTCGCTTGAATGCTCGCATTCAGGCCTGAGCCCTGCGACTTCTTAGCTGAAAACGAGTTCGGGTGAGATCAGACTGCGCACCACACTATTGGGACAGCAAATAGATCAAATAGGACGTATCCAAAACCAAAATGACACATACCAGCACTCTAGAAGAAAATGATTTGATCATTCTGGAAATCTGTGTCGAAGGGTGCACCGGGAAGAAATAGTAAGCACTAAAGAAAACTAGCTTATAGATTCCTTGAAAACAGTACCCTTTCCAAAATGACCTTCCCGAGAGCTGCCCAAAATGTGAAGTGGCATGCCTTCAAGGATTGAAGCTGTAAAGCCCAAATTACTGTGGAAATGTGCTCACGAAATTTCAAGCACAGAGCAAGATTGGATTCTGATTTTCAGCTTGAGTTGTGGTTTTCCAATGTTTGTTTGGCCTGACTGTTTCAATCATATGGCAGTACAGGTATAGGTTTAATAGTTGCTTGCTTATGTCCTTCTTGTTTCAGGTGGCCGACTCCATGGCAGCAACCACCTGTCTCACCTGGTACTATCTAGGGGCATGAAAAAACCAACGACCAGGCCATGAGGACATGTGCATACAATGATGCTTGGCAAGAAATGTTGTGCCATGCATGGGGTGCCAAATCCATGCAGCAAACATATCTAATTAGCTGACATCATGGAAGCTAATGCTGTGCATGGCCACACATTGAAAGCATATGGCCCAACTTAAGCCAGAGCGTCACAAAAATCATGTGGTGACTGTCCATCTAAGTTAAGGGGAAATTCCTTGAAAGTAATGCTTAAGTTAATTTAGCAATACTGGAAGGTCTGAGTTGTAGCAGCAGCAGCAGCAGTTAGCTACAGTAATGTTGGATCCTGATTAGTGTGGGCGGCCCCCCCCCCCGCCAGACAAGAAGAGGACCCCCTATAATACAAAGGCCTCACAACAAAGTGGGGTTTTGGAGGATGCGGGTGAGGGATCAAAAAAGCCATTTTAAGCATCAAACAAAACATACGCCCAGTGCATCAAAAAATTAAGCATCAAAAAACAATTGTACTAAATTATTAGGGGCTAAAACAAACGGCAAGCATCAAAAAACAACTTTTTTTGTAGTAGCACTAATACTAGTACTAGTACTGGTACTAGTACTAGTAATAATAAAAACAGTAATAGTAATAGTAATAGTAATAGTAATAATAAGAGTAGTAGCAGTGGTGGTGGTGGTGGTGGTGGTAGTAGTAATAATAATAGTAGTAGTAATAGTAACAGTAATAATAATAGTAACAGTCATTGTAGGAGTAGTAGTGGTTGTAGGAGTAGTAGTGGCTAATGAAAAATAATCGAAAACATGTAAATTATGAAACAATTGGAAAGATGAGCAAATCATGAAAAATCATGAAAAAGCAGGAAATTCTTGAAATCAGAAAAATCAAAATACAAAAGCATGAAAATTATGAAAAGTTAACCGAATTCACGGAAAACAACCATTTATGAACATGAAAAGTAATGAGAAGTAATGGAAAAAAGGATGATACAGAAGAACCGTGATGAACATGATGAGAAAAGCATGGAAATAATGATAATATTGGAAATGGTGAGACATGATGAAAGTGAAAAATCATGAAAACCAATGCAAACAAGGAAACATTATGTAAATCATGAAAATGATGGAATATCATGACAACAATGAAATATGACAAGTATGAAAATTAAAAGTAATCAGAAATGATGGAAATGATGAATGAAGAAACATGGTGAAATGATGAGAAAATCATGATCGTAATGATGAATTATGATAAACGGTGACACATGATGAAACATCATGAAAATCATGATGTAAATAATGAAAAATCATGAAAAACAGTGCAAATAACGGAAAAAATATGGGAAAAATACGGAACATAATGAACATGACGAATAGACAAGGAGTAAACTGATGAAATGTCATGTTGACGAAGGGGAATATGATGACCAATGCTCGCGTGAATGTGCTTTGTAAAATGAAAGCGGAGGGGTTGGGGGGGGCGCAGCCCCCCCCAATTGTAAAACCTGGACAAAGAATAGGATACAACATGTGCATTCTTCTGCCACGTCAATTGGGCAATGTGATGTGAGCAACGATGAGAAGAGGATGAACATGATCAACAAAGATGGGGATCATGAAAATGTATGAAATATGAAACTCAATAAAACATGATGAACAATAATGAAGAATCATGAAAACTGAGTCAAGCTTCTGAGAAACGATGAAACATGACGGATAATGATGAAAGAGCATGGAAATCCGGAAAGATAATGACACAACGTGAAAATAGTGAGAAATCATCACAATCATAACATGAAAGATGACAACAAAATTATGAAATATCATTCAAAACCATGAGAAACCATGAAAGAGTAACGAAAAATTATGAGCATGAAGGAACAATCCTGCAGAATGATGAAAACACTGGACAATTGAAAGAAGATCATGTAATGTCAGGAAGAATGATCCCGAATATGATGAAAATGTTGAGATTTATGACAATTGATGACAACGGATGCAACATGATGAGTAAACCTTCCTTCCTTGCTCTCTTCCTTCCTTCCTCCGTTCCTGGGGTACAGGGTCGAAGCCCAAGCATCAAAAAAAACATTCCGGATTGGTGTACTCCCCAGGAAATAAGAAATACTTGCTTTTGAAGTTTTTTGATGCATATACAGTCTTCTAAAACCCCTATCCCCCGGGGGATCCTATGGCTCCTATTAAAATCAATAAATGAAGAGGGATCGTTCGGCTTCTATTGAGATGAATAAGGGAAGGGGGGATCGGAGCAATTCTCAAATTGATTTCAGAAGCTGTGGCTCCTACTAAAATCAATAAGAAAAGAAGGATCATTCGGCTTCAATCAAATTCATAAGGGCTTGCTGAGTTTAGCTTTCAACAGAATAATTAAGAAGGGCAGGGTCCTCGGCCTTGATAATTAACAAAAGGCCTGGTCTTGAAAACTATCTTAAGACATCTCTCTAAAATCAATTAGAAAGCGATTTTAGACCAATTACAAACAACATCAAACAACTAAAAACTAATTAGAATGGCTTCACCACTACACCGGCCGAAAAAACCTTTACATTATTGAGCCCGCCCAAATCATTTTCAAAATTGAGGATCAGGGGCTCTGCTGGACCACCCACTTTGGAATTTGATTGCCTATCCTGTTCGAATAAGCGTTGTAATAAGAAATCGGTTGTTTTGGATGGCATCAATTTCCAGATTCGAAAGGCAATGGAGCCTGTCCTTTTCATGTAAAGGCCTAGCTTTAACGCCAAAAGCATTTTAGCCTGCCTCATCAAAATCTTCTCCTAATTTTTTCCGGCCGAAAACACTTAACTTTATTGGGACCCACCCCCAAATGGAATAAGAGGTCTAGAACAAAAAAACTTAACTTTATTGGGGACCCACGCACTAATCGGGATTCGACATTACCCCTACTACGTTCTACTACCATTGCTGCTACTCCTTCTTGCGGCAAGCTTCTACTGCTCCTTGACTACCTGTGCCCCCTACTAGCAGCGGCAGGGCCAACGGCCATGCCGGCCTAAGTTGCGTTCATCCAACTCATCCTTCACCTCACAAATACACTGCATTTTCTGGATCTTGGCTGCCATCCTCTCTTCCGCATGCAACTTCTGGCATCAGCAGCACTGCTCAGGCAAGCCTCTAACAGGGCAATCCTCAAGGAGGCACACTTTGCTGTCGCAGCCAACCATGCGCCTTGAAGAGTTGTGCCGCGTCATTTATGAAGTGTGCGTGAACTCGCCGGGCGCGCGATGTAATATCAGACAACCAGCCTTCACAATCCAGCATGTGTGGAGGATCAACATCCCTGCCCTCCCGTCCAGCTGCTCGCTTGTCTCTTCAGCAGGGATTCGCCCTGCACGACCCTTTTGAAACAGCATATCAAGTGTATAAGCGTTTGCAGAACACAATCAATCTGTGAGTCTGCGACGCTACAATGCAAATCTCCTGAGACCTCTTGACAACCAGCTCTGCTAAGAGGAATGAGTAATTATTTCAGCTCAACCGTTTGAACCCTCGGCGTCCTGTGCCCCTGCTGTCCGCAAAACACGAAATACCTTGACAGTGGAGGCTCCAGCTGGCTGCAAGAACACAAGCTGCGCGGCTCACACCAGCAACCACAATTTGAGCATAGCCCGTCCCAAATTGCTGCCAGGGATCCACACCGCGTATTTTAAGCCTTCGAGGCAGTTTGCCTAAGTCAGAGCACAAGCTGTCACAAGCCCAACGGCTTCGCAGTGTTGTGGCCGCTGCTGCTTTGCTCTCAAAGCAAGCTTCACACGGATACTTCCTCCCCCCCGTGGTTGGTTAGGAAGAATGCCACCCTCAATTCGCCTTCTGTGCCCAGATCCGGAAATAGCCAGGGCTGCTTTGAAAAGCGTTACCTGCTTACCCGCGTACGGTCGGTTCTGCATGAGAATCACCAGCCAGGCCGCAGGGCTGCCACTATGTCCTGGAGATTGCCAGTATGGATCCAACAAGTGCTGTTTGCTGCTGTTTGGGAACAAGCATGTCGCAAGGCAGACGCCATGACACTCATGTAGAGAAGGCCGGAAGAACTTCAACAGCCTGCGTCGGCATCCAAACATGTACAACAGCTACCGTTCAAAATCTCAGGAATCTCTTCAGCTAGCAGACAACGACAGGCAGATGGCATCAGAGATGCCATTTCCCTCTCGTCGCACAGCGAGCAGGCGGTTTGGCTGTTTCACCTGAGACTTGACAAGCCCGGGCAAATTGTTCATTACAGCAGCGTCCTCCGGGTTTGCGTGGTCACCCAAGTTCTCCTCAAGGTAGCTGAACGCTGGGCTGCCATCCTTGTTCAACACGTAGCCTTACAAGTTGGGCAGAAGGACGAAGGACAAAACATAAGACTGTCTTGAGAGGTTGAGAGTCTCAGATATCTTAGTCACCGGCAGCCACCAGCAATGAAGCCTTCACCTTTCCTTGATCGGCAACTGACACAAGAGAGCTTCAAACTTGTACCAGTATGCGAATGTTAGCGGCTAGCGGCAACCCAGTTTCAAAATTATCTGATTTAGTTCGAAAATTCTGGAAGGATGCGAACCACCCGCATCTCTGGAATGATAAGGATGGGTTGCGAGATGGGGAGGGAAAGAAACTCTCCTTTCGAGCCCCCTTAGCCCTGGGGAGCCTCCCGGGGGCACTCTGGATACCTCTGAGTGGTCAAAGCCTCCCTGGAGAAGAGCTCCACTACCACATTGAGATTGGCCCGAGCATGAACTACCTCACTACAGTGTACAGTAGACAGGCGAGCGGGCATCTCTGTCCGATTCCACTCTCTACGCGCACTCGAGTACTAACTCCCTAGAACCTTGAGAGCGGCAACAGCAACATGCCATGCAGTTGTGTTACATGAACTGTACATGGACTGATAGCAAAGCAGCAGGACTGAAGTTATTTCACCCCTCGCTCTGAGCGATTCTTGTGGTTGAACCTGAAACTGAGCCCTAACACCCCCTTTCCGAACCCTGACCAGAACCCGAACCCCCTAAGTTCCGTTCCCCCATTCAGCCTTCCTTGGTACACTCTGGCACGTTATTCCTGCATAAAGTGCTCTTCAATGTATGAGTTGGGGTCTTGGTATGGCCGCGTTGGTACTTCTTCCAATGTTGCGGATGGACAAAACAGGCTAGATCTGTTGGCAATTTGCCTCTCTGGGTGCATGCGTTCGCTCCCTATGGCTCCTCTCCTGAAGGGATGGGGGTGACGCCGGGAATCGAAGCAAAAATGACTCCAAGCGATCGCCGGGTGCATTAGCGCCAGTTACACTTTACTGGAAGGTATAATGCCAACGCGTTTTTTTGATGCGTATTTATATAGGACATGATTCGTACGTGATTTCCTTGTTTTGATATTTTGATTTGATATGGAGTTTTGAAATGAAGTATCAACAAACATTGTGGCAATCATAATTGGAATCACATGCGATAACTCACGCCAGCATAAAAACAAAAGCTGCAGCTGCACCAGCTCGTTTCCGCCACACCATGCGTCAGATCGCGACAGGCAGCGCTGAGAACATAACACAATGGACAAGAAAGAACAAAAAGATCGAACGTTTTTTTGGCTGCGGTTGAAAAAAATATCTAGTTTTTGTCACTTGAGCTCTTGAAATCTTTTTGCTCCCATCACTCTGTCAGTCTTTGCCGCTGAATTCTTTCTGGGAGCTGTGCATTGATTGAGTGATTCATTACCTTGATCCTGATTTGTGACGGTGCTGTAGTTTTTGCATCCTTTAAAAACATGCTTCATGGCTAATTTGGTGAATCCATTTTCCATTTTTGATGTTGTTTTGGGTGGTTGAAGTCTCTATTTTGCAGGTTCAAAGACAGATTGTCATGCCAGTTTGTGGTGGGTTTAGGTAAGTTTTATAATGCGTGTTGGGATTCCAAATGGAATGTAACCTCAATGCTATGGCGTGTTTTGGTTGTCTCCATGTCATTTTGTTTCCATGCTTGACTTCAATCCCCATCTCTTAGCTCAGAAACAGGAATTGGAAGTTCCATGAAATTGGATTGGAATTTGACACGTTGACCTGTTCATGTGAAGCAAGCAAAGATTTGAATGAAAGTGTGGAGGCCGTGCAAAATTGGTTGGGTTCGTGCTTCGTGAAAATTGGGGAGAGGTGGGAAGTTTGCGTGTCCATTTCAGAAAATGGGAGTAGGTGTGACCGAATGCGGGTTATGGATTCAAGAAGCTTGTGGCAAGGTTTTGACAATCTTGAGTATGAATTTGGGAACTTTGGTGGCTTTCAGGGGCTTATAGGGGTTGCTTTTGGCGTCAAAGTGTTAGTCATGATTCACAGTTCGGGAACTAAAGACTTCGGCGCTCAAGCTTTACGTTGCAGGTTCCGTCTGCAAGGTCACCCCAACTCCAATCGGACCAGATCATGACAACCCCAACAGTGCCAAGCCGTGTTTTTTTTCTACTAAGTACTCGCTGGTTGCAATGTTGTTTCTTTGGTTTTGCGATGATTGTCATGCAAATCTACCCGCATGTTCCGAGAGACGTTGTGGTCTTAGCGTAGTAGTGCACAACTCGAATGGGGCCAGCACGCGATCCACGCGATCCCTGTGGTGAAAACTCGCCATTTTGCAGCTCGTTTCGCAGTTCAGGATTCAATGTGTTGCCCTACATGGCATCAACAAGTTTGCCTGCGATGCAGGCGTCATCTTGGGTGCCCAATGGGGTGATGAAGGTAAAGGCAAGCTTGTAGATATCCTTGCGCAGGACCATAAGTGGCTCCACAAGCGTAGGCTTGAGTCTGAGTTCTTGGTCCATTGCATCTGCCAGGACGTGCAGCTTTGTGCTCGCTTCAATGGTGGTGCAAATGCTGGTCACACCTTAATTGTTGACTCACGGCGTGAATTTGCAAGTGTCAACCATGCGTTTGACGGGGTGATTGTGGTACTGATGGTACAATGCGTGAGCAAACGAGGATGGCAAGAAATATGCATTTCATTTATTGCCTTGCGGCATGATTAACAAGGCGGGCGGACGTTGGCACAGAACAGATTTGATGACTTCACGGAGGATCATGCAGTATGGCCAGGCTTGCAAGAATTTGATTGGTAATGGTGTGGTTGTGCACGGGCCCTAGCATATGCTGGAGCCAAAGTTCAAGAATGTATTCGCGATTTTCAGTTTGATGTCCTTGTGCGGGCTTTTCAACGTGGCAACGGGCCAAAGATTCCGGATCAAGTGTTGTGTAGCAAAGGTAGTGTCGTCCAAGGCGCACACGTGCTCTGGCGCATCCAGCGTGCACACAAGGGTCCCTCTTTGGCTGTGGGGGGTTCCACACAAGGTGTTTAAGGCCCTTTGAGGGTTTAGGGTTTTTATTGCGCCTTTTTTTTAAGGCTTAGGACATTTCAAGGTTTAGGGCTTTGTAAGGTTTAGGGCTTTTTAGGGTTGAGGATTGTTCAGTGTTAATGTGGGGTTTGTTGGGGTTTAGGGTTTTTTTCTGGTTAAAGGTGTTTTAGGTTTTAGGCCTTTTTAAAGCTTAGTCTTTTAGGGTTCAGGCCTGTTTAGGTTTAAGGCATTTTCAGGTTTAGGGCTTTTCAGGGTTTAGGGTTTTTTAAGGTTTAAACTTTGCAGCTTTAAGGTTTAGGGTTTTTAGGGCTGAGGGTTTTTGAGGGTCCAGAGTTTTTTGGGGTTCAGAGTTTCTTAGGGTTTAGGATTGTTAGGGTTCAGGGTTGTTTACGGCTTAGGGTTTTTTGGGTTTTAAGGATTTCTTTGAGTTTTGGGCTTTTAGGGGTTGTGTTTTTGTAGGGCTCAGGGTTGTTCCGGGTTCAGGGATTTTAGGGTTGAGGAAATTTCGCGATAAAATGTTTTTTAAAGTTTAAGCCTTGTTAGGGTCTAAGGCTTCTCAAAGTTCCAGGTGTTTTAGGGTTTAAGCCTTTTTAGGGTTCAGGCGTTTTGAGGATTCAGGGTTCTTTCAGGGTCTTTGCAAGGCTCAGGGTTCGAGCGCACATGGCCGCGCACCGCGTGCACTTCGGACACAAACTCAACGTGCACCTTCGACGCAAACCGCGCGTGCGCCTTAGATGTCGTGCCCCCGGGTGTTCAATTGGTTTGAGGCCTTTGTGTGTTGCGCCATTTCTTTTTTCATTCTCAGTATGTCTCAGAATGTGCATGGTTACCCAGTACAGCAGAATTGACGAGGTAGTGACAACAGGCATGGAAAATCATCGCTGATCACACTGTTTTGAGCAGGTTTGTTTGCACAGATGCGCGTCCAACAGTCGCAGTTTGGTGAGGACGTACCCGCGAAGACCAGCTCAGCATTACATCGCTAGCAAATCAGGGGTGGCAATACGGAAGCACATTTTTGCAAGATTGGTGGGTTTCCTCAGGTTCGTTTTGTCCTGCTTTGGGCACAGCACTTTAATTGTCTTTTCGAGCAAAACTTCCCTCAGCCCAACCTTTCTTGCAGCCGCGGCCAACGATGTGTCAGGCTAGCATGGCAGTTGGTTTTAGCCAGCAGCCATCAAACCTTGCATGAGATAGCCGCCTGTCCAGGAATACGGTATAAAATGAACCTCAAAAACTTGAACTCCGCACAGAGGCCTGTTGCGAACATGCTGGGCAATGCTAGTCTACGGTCTACGTTATTTGACGTCCAAAGCGGTTGTATTTGTATTGCGCCAGCAATGCCGCTGTTGATTCAGCAAACGCACCCGCCTGTATGAGCAATGATGGGCTGTGCAGGGTTCCGAGGAAGTGCAGATGCAAAACGGATTTTTGCGCGTATGGGTCATCCCGCGCATTGTTGCAACAGCCACTTGAGAGCAGCTGGGCCGGCATTCTTCGTCGTAAACGTTTGGATTGATGGTGCGGGTGGCACACGATACATGACATACCATTAATTGCGCATTCCAGAGCCAAGTGCTGCTTCGCTTCTGTGGGCATGCTTGCTTTCAAAATCCAAGCTGCGCAAACGCTTGTTGATTTCGGTGGGAAAGGTTTATCTCGCAATGCATGATGTCTTTATCGTGAATGTTGCGTAATATCATGTAATATCATAATACGGTGCGAAGGTGCGAGTTGGACTCCAAATTTACAACTTGAGTGGCTGTAGTTCTTTTGTGCACTGCTCGGGGAAATAGAAGCAAAGCTTACATGCAACGTTTGTGCCGACTTGGTTGAAGGATGGATGATATACCCTGCAGTGATGAATCTTGCAAAGGTCAGCCCATTTGCAACCTCCTTATCAGGCTGGCTGTGCGAAGGTAAGGGCACAGCAACTTTTGAGGGTGCAATGGTGTCCCAACGTTCAGTTGCAAGATTGCGCGTGGCGAATGTGCATGTTCCTTTGTCTGCAGGATGGGTGTCTCCTGTGTTGGTGTGGCTTGCGCGCGTACATGAGGGTCAGCTGGTGTAAAATCAAACATACCGCAATGCAGAGCGGACGCTGTTCTTCGAG